GAAGAATATATTTCAGGATGTGTACCGTGCTGTCCAGGACTGTCACTCTCAAAGAGATGGTTAAGAAACTTTTCAAAGCCAATGAATGGTGTGAAAATCCTTTCAGTCCAGTATGCGATTACAGACCTGTTAATGTGTAATAAGACTGCATGAGAGCTTAGTCATCTGAAAAGACAACACAGACCACCACGTTTCTCAAGACAAAGAAGTCATTACTGTACATCACCGTGAATTAATGTGAATTATAATACAAAAATGTTAGAGTACACTGTACAGTTGTGCAAATTAGTTTGAATCTTAATGTGAAAATGCTAGAGTACAATGTACAGTTGTGTAAATGAGCGTGAATCTTAATGTGAAAATGTTAGAGTACACTGTACAGTTGTGTAAATTAGCATGAATCGTAATGTGAAAATGTTATAGAATACTGTACAGCACTGTAATAAGTGGTCGCCTTTTAATGCACCTCTGTTAAGCCCAAACCAGTTGGTGGCTGCTTAGTAACAGATCACAGATGATGTTGTGAGAAAGGGGGTGTCAGTTATTTGACAACATGAAAGTGGAACAACATGATAATAATAATAATACTTGCTTACATTTATATAGTGCTTTTCTGGACACTCCACTCAAAGCGCTTTACAGGTAATGGGGACGCCCCTCCACCACCACCAATCATATAGCGTCGGAGTAGATCTATATACTGTAAATCATTTTACAGTGGATTACCAGATGTTTTTCTCAATAATGTACAGCCAAGCACCTAGCTAGACACACCGACACTAGAATGAAACGTGAATGAAATATTAATTATGTGGTTTTTTAATGTTAATTATGTGTGCCCGGTGTCTGCAGGAGGCTCTAGAGCACCACCTGCTGGAGAACAACTGGTATAGCGACAGAGAGGACTTCACTGTTGTGCTCCAGCCTCCTCCCGCTGCCTCAGGCCCATCTCACACCCTGGTAGGGACAGACAGCAGACTGCCAGGCAGTCAGAACTCAGCGCAGCCCAATGCCATGGCTGTGTGAACCTTCTGTATGGAGTTTGACAGTTGTTTCCATGTTCATGTGAGTTTTGTTCAGGAGACAGAAATGCCTCCCAAGGACATGCTGGATGCTGCGATTCTAGATTGTCGCCCATGGGTTTGGTGTTATTTATTAAAAAGGCAGATGCTTTCATCCCTAAGCAATTTACAGTGATTACAATTACTTCTTTTCTTTATATTCCAATTATTTATTTTCTGTACATACAAAAAATGTGGGCATGTTTGCCAGTCAAATAAATGCAGGCAGATTTACATGCAGGCAGATTTACATACAGGCAGGTCTTTATCAAGAAGAGAGACAAACCAGCACAACACTCCTCAGGAGCCTCACAGCTTCCTCTCCTCTGTGCAGGGAAGGAAGGACCCCCCCGTGGGACACAGCGCCCCCCTGTTGGACAGCCTGGTCCTGCAGCTGTGGATGAGCCTGGTGAGTATGTGCATGGACCCCTGGAGCTACACACTGACCCCTGCAGGGCAACACTGGCAGGGCACCTGGATCATACTAGATCACTGAAGGGAGAGAATCCACAGACAGTAGCAGCCAGTGGAGGCCATGTGACCTGCTTGTCTATTTAACGACTCGGGAACTCGGGCCTGTAACCTGGTGAAGCTGTATCTTGAAAACTCTCATCACAAAGATCCCAGAACATTAAAGTAGATCCCAGTTGATTGGATTGGATCACATTTAATTGAATTAGATCATAGAAGGTCAGATAAAAACAGAAGGACTATCAAATATCAGAAGAGGTCATTCGGCCTACCTGGCCTAACTGTTAATGAATCACCCAGCTGTTTCTTGAAAGAAAGCAGGGTATCGTTTCTCCTCCATGGGTGGGGAGCTTGTCCCACACTCCCTCCTGACGCAGTTTTAATGCTCTTCTCTGGGGTTTCCACTTGTGACCTCTGGTCTATTGTCAACAAACCACATCAGATTGAGGTAGATGGGATGCTCAGGCTCTTGCTGGTTCACACTATCTTGAACTTGAACACAGAACAGCACTGACGTGGTATGACGACACTTTTACCACATCTTACACTAGGGCACAAGGCATAGGCTGAGGACGACAGGCAGATGTGTGCAGTAGCTCTGACCACAGGACTTCAGGAGAGAGTGAGACAGGGATTACTGGGTAGCCTGAGCCAAGCTCATGTGCCCACCTTGCCTGTTTGGTAGTTAACAGTTAATTACAACTACATGGTCTCTTCCAGCTGCAGCCTGCCACAGAGGACAATGACATCAGCCCTGTTCAGTGCCCCAGTGAGGTGAGACTGATGGTGTGTGTTCATAATATTGAAGCCTGCTCTCTCTTTTCAGACTCTTTTTCCACCTGCTTCAGAAGCTTAATTCCTCAGACAAGCTACAGGCGTGGAAATAGAGCTACGTAAAATAGGAGCTGATCTACAGCTCTGGGAGACCAGCCCTGGACAGTGAGAGAGTCTGGGCTGCTCTACAGCTCTGAGTGTCCAGCACTGAACAGTGTATTCTGCTGTGCACTGGTACTGCTGGAGCAATAGAGCTACAGTGGTCTCTCATGTGAATGAATTGCATCCCCTTCAGTACACGACAGACTTCAGTGCCCTTTGGAAGAATGGCGCTATATAAATGCTATTAAACATTTCTCATTTTTACCTGTTTCTCAGGATCGGCCATACCTCCGGACT